GGGGGCATCTATTCGTGTACAAGGACGCAGTCCAACAGCACATAGACCAACCTTTGGACCCGACGACATACAGACAAGCCATAAACGACATTCATAGAGAGTCAGTTACCAACTACCTCGACTCTCCACCTATGAATGCCGTAATACGAGCCCAATCACCACCTGTGGAAGAAACGGAGCTTCAACTGCCACGAGAGACCCGCGTTACCCTGGCTTAATTACGGTCTGGATACTGTAGCCGCCTTAACAGCTACCTGTCCAGACTCGACCCCAATATCCCCAATGAGTGCCCGGCATGTGGAGAGTCCCCCCACGACACCAACCACCTCTTTACATGCCAGCTCAATCCGACTCAACTAACACCCCCCTCCCTCTGGTCCGAACCCATTGAAACAGCTCGTTTCCTGGGCCTCCCGTTAGTTGAGCTCGATGACAATGATTGAACGTAGACCCGAAAATGGCGGGGCTTAGTAGTGCCGCTACAACAACAACAACAACTTTTCGTAAAGCGGGGGCTGTCCCCTTTCGAATGGGGTAATTTAGGGGGCCACGCCCCCGCCCCTACCCCAAAAACGACCTGCAAATAAGTAAACATTTCCCGGATGGTAGGACGCTTAAAATTTTGGTAGGTTTCTGTGCTCATAAACATCTCTGCTTTGTTGTAGAGTTTGGCACTTTGAGCAGACTTGTCAAATTGGGGAAATATCAGTTTTACCTGCTTTCTGTTTCTTGGATGGTTCCAACTGTTTGCCATTATATGAAATTCTTTTCAAAACTCTCGTTGCATACAGAAATGAAAGGAAAGAAGTCATTGTGGTAGCTTTTTGAATCAGTTCTTGGTAGCAGAGGAAGTTTGCAGTGGTAGCCCTGTATATATGAGAAAACAACATGAACCAAAAATACAAGATCACGTAAGAACGCGACGTTGTATTTGTAACTAGTTTTGAGAAAAAAATTTGCGAAAGCGGGTTCGTCAGCTGAGCGTTTGTTTACATCACAAGCACCACTATTTTACACTTTTATTCAAATAAAGAAGAGTTAATTCAATATGACAACACATTTTAAAGCATTTTGTTGCATTATTTACCTAAATTGTGCGTTTAAAGTGGCTGACAATAGTTTTGGCTAATTTTGGTTTTCGTTGTTTTCTTTGCTTTGTTTACTTTTCGCTCGTTTTCCAGTGAAACAAGATGGCGTAGAACCC